TGGTTCATCAGTTCTATTACCGGGGGGGGCCAGCGACATGCACCTTCGATTTTACACTTTTTTGGTACAAAATTTGTGAAAAAACGTAGATGAGAAAAATATCGATTCTAAGGTAATTTTTCATGCTGATTCTGAATTTTTGGGTTTCAGGTCAAAAAAATCACATCTTGGGGGTTTTTGACCCCCCGACCCCCTTAAGGGGTGGGGGGACTTGGAGGGCAGAGGTCCTAAAAAATTTCTCTCGTCATTCTGAACAATTTTGTAGTACATTATTTTTTGATCCGATGAAGTTTTGCAAAATTGGGGGCACCCCCACCCCCCCTGGGGAAAAATTCAAAATTCTGCTCCGATAGAAATTTTCTATTTTTTACCCCCAACATACCCCTCAAAGGGTTTTTCAAAATTCCCACCCCCCTGGAAAACCCGATTAAATGCGCCACCCTGTATGTGTATACTATAATATATGTATAATAATCCATATGTTAAAACATTGGAATAAATACACAAAATAAAATGCGTTGATTGAAATACAGCGAATACATTATTTTAAATCGAATTATGTATTTTTTGAGAAAAGAAATTAAACAGTATATTATTTTAAGTTTTTCAGAAAAAAAAAATCATCACTAAATGTTGCATTTTGTTCTTATGGTTTTACATTATATTCTCATTGGTTCACAGTAGATAGAATTTGGCAGTTGTCATTGAACACACACATACGCAAACACTCATTCGAATGTTTCAGTGGGGTATTTTACCATAAGCGTTTGAAACATGCTCTTTATGATTTTTGTTTTATTTTATTTTATTTTATTTTATTTGATATTTGAATGTTTGGAACTTGTTTTATCGCCTGTTGTTGCAATGTCAACATACAAATATAGAAAGATAGATCAGAAGGAAAAGCGTCGTTTTGCAAATTAAGCGAAATTTGAACGTGCTTTCATTCAAATAAGCTGAATATTTTTCAAAACTCATAAAACTACATTGTATTCATTGTCGACAAATTATTTCAGTGCATACAGAAACAAGTGCCATGAAAACTATTTAATTTGCCGATAAAGAACATTTCTATTATTTTTACACCATTACTATTCATTTTTTTCTGTTAAATCAATTGCAATTCGAAAATAAATCAAAAGTTTCTTCATAAATAAATTCAAAATCCACTGAAATTTCCAATCGTTTTTAATTTTTACTTTTCTTTCATTAACCTATTCGTCGAAAAGAATCCATACATACGAGTTCTATTTCTATCGAATATGACGAGAGGAGAGTATGTTTTTCTGACTTGTAGTACAATAAACAGGTGTATGTTTTTGCACAGAAAAAATCGTTAATGGAGAGCATGTCTTTTCATAAATTTAGTAAGTGAAATATGACTTACTCTCCTTTTACTACTCGCACACTTGTCAAGAGATATACTCGCCTTTTGAAGTATTTCCAGCTCAAAAATGAATATGTTGAGTTACACTTTCAGTTAAAAATATTGTCTTGAGTTTTACTGATTATATGTTTAACTGTACGCTTGCCACATACTGTCAACAATTTATAAATTGTTGTTACAGTATACTGTATTTTTTTTTGTCTGTATGAATATATCTATGGTTTACGCAATTCAGTTAAACTTTTTAATCAAACCGGTAAAGATGATGGCTTTGCTACTGTTATCCACAATATAGAACATGAATGGATGATTTGCGATGAAGGTTGCCTCATTGAACGGAGGAATATTACTTATTCCAATGATAAGAACACCTATGAAGTGAAAAACAAAAAAAACTTAACAAACTCTAAATAAAAACGATTCCAGAAACAATTACCATTGGCGGCAGCTGCTTCTGATCCTCCTTCGGAAACTGAAATGTAAGCTTTGTGAACTACATCGGCCACTGTCACCGGTTCGCTTGTAAGACCGCTTAAATCAGCATACTCGGAAAACATTTCAGTCATACCCATCTAAAATGTAGGAATGGTCATTTCAAAAACAATAATAATCAAATAATTGAAAAAAAAAAACATACATTCTTTAGAACATTTGGTAGATGTTCAATTTGAAATTCGGTGGTAAATTTTGGAATTGAAACTCTGACCTCTCGCGATGTCATTTGATTCATTATTGGCTCCAAATTATCCTTTACTTTTGATTGCATTGCTGTTAATCCTGAAGGAGTGTTTGGCAAAAGGAATACCATCGAAAAGTTTGAATTTGCATAATTCATTTGAAGCGCTTTTGCATCGAATTCCGGTAAATCAACAAAATTAAAGAATTTACGAAAAGAATTCATAAAGTCGACTGAAACTTTTGTGGTGTCATTCACATAAAAGTCGGCTTTGTGTGTGCTTGTTTCATAGAATTTTTGTTGCCATTCGCCCTTGAAGTGAATGGCATTTACCAAAACAACACGAGAATCCGATGAAAATGCGTCTGCTTCGAAAAGTTCATTAATTTTTCCATTTGTCTTTTCTTCGATAAAATGATTGATTGTTTTAGCAGTAACAACATTATTCGCAAAATTCACCGATTCAACGTCTGATTTGAATTTATCACTAGCAACTTTCCGGAAATTTTCTTTTATTTCAATTCCTTGTTGCACATAGATTTTATTGACAATTGAAAATATTGCATCGCCAGCATCGCTTTCAAGCCTATCGGAAAAAATGAAATAATCGTTTGCAATCGAAGTTTTGTCACTGTTTGGATTGATACAATTTTTTATTTGCTCAAAAGTACGTCCGTTGGTTCCTTGTGATAAAAACGCCAATGCAGTTGCGATCGAGAATGGTGAAATTATCACATTTTCATTTGGGGCTGATTTGATACATTGCTACAATAGTATAAACAACATTTTGATTTTGTTAAATCCGATAACGAATATTCACAGATTTATTCAAATTACCTCGAATAAATTCGAAGAAAAACGAGAAATTCCACTGGCAAATTCAGTTGATGGGATGTTTGACGGTGTCGCCAAGGAATAAATAGCAAATGCAATCAATAGGTGTAACACTAAACGAAAAATGTATATCTTTATTAATTAATATAAATTGTAAGTTGAATGGAAGTGATCAACAAGTTGTTCGCTTTGACTTTAATACAGATAAAAATGAATGTCTTTTACTCTTATGTGTATGATTCACAAATAAACTAAACAGGTTCACCAGCTGTTAAAAAAACACAACAAAAAAATTTATGAAATTAATTGAATGAAATTAATTTCAATGACAAATGAATTGAAACGTAAAGTAATTTTCAATTTACTTTTTTCAAAATTGGAAAAAAACTTACTATGGACTTGTTGAATGTTGTTTGTACCAAAAAAAATGATTTTTCTCTTCACAATACGTGTACTCACCTCGATATTGAGAATAAAAGAGAGAGTGATGAATCTAAGCAGCATCAAAGTTGTTGCTACTCATATGTTTTAGTGCACATTCCGAAACATATACAAAACTAAAAACGCCAATACATTCGAGACCGAAAGTGGCGTCACTTGCTATTTCATTTATCTATATAGATATTTCTCTTTTCTTCTTTCATTCGTTCGTATGCTTTAGATGCATAAGTGCCAACATGCGAACAACGTGAACAAAGCAAAACAAACATATACACGTAAATTATACGAGCTTCAGGATTGACAGCAATGCAATCAAAAGTAATTAAGTTGTCAAAGCAATTGCACCTTTTTTCGGATTCGTTTCTTTTTTGGTTTGAATACAATAGAATGATCGTAGATACAATACTTTTTTCGCATTCGCTCTCTTCCCATTCACCTACAGAGACGTTGCCCATATAAAATACATGGGATACACATGTGCGTTGATGCCGTCGCTGCTGTTCTCGTCTCGTTCCTTCGTATATGGTAGAACGACTGCAACGGAAGCATAACTTACGAACTAGAGAAAAACTACAGAAACGAAGAAATACCAACTTTTTTCATATAGTTAGTAAAGACCGATGTAGCTCAGTGGTTAGAGAATTGGTTTTGGCATACAGTACTCTCGAGTTCGATTCCCACATATCAAAAGATTTTTTTCTTTAAAAAAATATTCAAAACCAATTCTTATTCACATGAGAGAGAGAAGAGAGAGAGGAGAGAGAGCAACGGCACACTCATAACGTTTTCAACAACAAAATACACGACAAGCAGGTCCGTTGCCTTACTCATACATATGAAAAAACTAGTTTTCACATATGCATGTGAAGTTTTTGTGGGCGGAGTCAAAACCGGTTTGGACAGAACCTACAAAATGTATGTGTATGTGTGTGTATATGTGTGTACATGTGCACTAATACTAAAAAACGTGGATGAAACCGGCAAAACTATACTACTCAGATGATTTCACATTATTGAACTTTGTACACTTGCATTTGAATTGCCACTGACACGAATTTCTTCTTGAAATAAAACTAAACAGCTGTATATTTATTATGCACGGCCAATAAATTTCAATATTTTCTTATGCTTACCGATTTGCGTTGCAATCACATTGTTTTTGAAACTCATCTAAATCATCTTCGATTTTTATATGAAACTCATCTCTATTGTAATCGCTATATGCATCCAGCTTGAACAGATGTGATTGATTACACAGCGTTTTACACTTGGTTTCTTTTTGTTTTCGCGTATCTATTGCGATCGTATGCAATAGATTACCAATTATTGACGTACAATTCAATGAACAAAAGAATTCAATTGTTTTTTTTTTAATTCGTTTGGATATGAACCGTTTTATTGATTGTGATCAATTTGAGAAAAAATTTATTTTGTGGACAATAATAATTAATAATTGTTTCATTTAATCACGAACAAAAGAGAAAAGAGACACAAATAACAATTGTGCGTTCTCTACGCACAATGGAAAATTTGACACACAAAATGCTCTCTACCAGAACACATATATTTCTCTTTATTATTACATTTATTTTTGACAGAACCCTATTTGACGTACGAGAATTTAAGCAAGTAGACCATATGCTTTCGTTAGATGGCGCCACACGTAACCTTTTCAAATTCGAATTCAATTTTCTGATTAACTTTTCATCCTATAAACAATGAGTTTTTTCTTTAAATTTTATCCGATTTTTTTATTTATAAATTGAAGTAAACAATGTAGTTAGTACTTGCCAATGAAAACAATCACTTTAATACAATTTATCAATTGATGTCAGTTAAAATGGGATTCATTAAAAAATCAAACCGAATCAAATTGGTCAAAAATTTGAACTCATTTACACTTTTCAAATTTAGTTTCTGGGAAGCAAAAATTTGCAATTGTTCCTGCACACAAAACACTTTTGGTAATGTTGTCAAATGCATTTGAATATTTACAATTTAAAATACATCTCATACATTTCAACTATAAATAGTTCTTGACAAAAAACGAAATTCAACCTAATGGTGATGCGTTACAGTGTGCATTGCTAGTGAAAATAGGCTCAATATTTGCTCAGAGTCATACGAATAGTTTCGATTAGGGATT